ATCAGCAGAACCATTTTGCATTATGTATGAAGCACACTCACCATTACTTGCTATCACTTGAAAGATCATATATATTACATTCATGTACAAAAATACATTTTCATTTCATTGTTTAGCACAATGCGCAGCAATTAAATAAGGCCCTGAGACTCTGAGCTACTGAAATCTGAGTGTTTGATACAGCTCTAAGCAGATGTGTAGCATTACATTAGTCCATAAGTGTATATAGATGGTAAAATAATAGGTAATCTACCTGCATTTATGATTTACATAGAAGTGACATACAAGGATTGGTTCCAAGGGACTGCCCCTCACAGCTAGAGCCTGAGGCCAGACTTCGTTTGTTGATTGCTTTTGTCAACTAGGCTATTGCTGCCAATAGCCCAACACTGACCTACAACAGCCATCAGTTTCCTCTTGGAAACGTCTGTCTGCATTGATCAGCATTAGTTATTTCATCTGCTGTAGAAGCCTCATAAGTCGTTTGGCTGGACACCCTGCACTGCACTAGGTGTATTCATATTATTTTTGTCATATCTCTTCACACCAATGAGTTCATGTATAGTGTGCAAATTGGAGTCCCTAACCCTCATGTACATACTGATTATGTAGCATGTCCCCTCTCGTCACAGATACATTCCAAGTGCTTCAGGTGTTCTCAGTAATTCATACATTTGATTCTGTGATTGCAATGAATTCACCTCTGGATTTATTTCATTTTTTATATCTCCAAACTTTCAAGGTACTGTAAAAACAAAACAATATTAAGACATGAAATGTATTCGCCACCATCAGTGGCGATGAAGTCTATTGTTTGTGAAAGTTTTTGTAAAAATATAAAAAAAATTCCCCCTGGTTTATTGTGCCTGTCCTTGATTTCATTTGCTCAATTGTGTTCTCTAAATTATAGTCATCCAGAATTTTTTAAATTTTCTCACATTCATATCTGCATCCTGTGCATCATTTTGAGTTATTCAGTTTATCACTAAAGGAGGATGTAATGTTAAGTAGGTATGTTCTTTAGGAAGTTATAGGCAAAGTGGTAAAATGAGGAATTATTATTATTATAATCAAAAAGAAGCGCTAAGCCCACAAGGACTATACAGCGCTGCAAGGGCAGAAGGAAGCGAGGCATCAGGAGCAAAAGGGAGATGATGAGCACACAGTTACGGATAACAGCGGTTCAGTGGCGAGTGAAAGGGTAAAGGCAGGCAAGAGACCTGAACCATAAAGGCTGAGGAGTGCGAAAAGTATCATCAGAGAGTTTGTGGAGTAAATCAGTCCGTTTGTCAAGAAGTCAATGAGGAGAGTCAGGATTAAAGAGGGTCCATCAGCAAGAAGGGCGGTAAAGAGAGAGTAGGAGAACGAAGACGACGAGTGAGAGGTAAATTCCTGCGTGGCTCAGTGCGATAGAGAGTGCCAGTCCTAACAAATTGGCCTAATCGATACTGGAACTTGACACTGCTCACAGAGAAAGGAACAGGTGCCTCTCCAAGAGAAACCCATGAGTAAGACGAGTGAGCCAATGCGATAGGGCGGAGAGAGTGGTCCTCCCAACCTCGGCACAGATGACAAGAAGACGGCTTCAGTAAACCTATGCTTCGTTTTAATAGAATGAAGTTTGTTACCCGAGCAAGAGTTGACCAACGTTGTTGCCGAACGGTACGAAGGTGGGTAGCTATTGCAGCAAAATATGTCCAGAAATGGAACAACCTCGATAGTGAAATTGGTAGGTCATATACTGCTGACGCGCGCAGCCAGTGTCTGCAGTTCAATGCCCTGTACGACGAATGACCAAGGGACCCAACAAAAAACAAATCTTTATGTTTGGAAAGAGATACGGCGTAGCAAAGTTGGATAACGGAGAATCTAGGGGATGAGATGTATCAATTTTAGTATAGCCTGTAAGCACTGAAGGGAGTCTGAGACACTACAAATGATGACACAGCATAGGATGCGCTACGACGCGAGCGAGTGCCTGCAAGAATGGCAATACAGTTCAGCAGTAAAAATGCTAGCTGAAGATAGTAAATGCCCTCCGACGACCTGTCCGGGAAACACTGCTGCGAATCCGACGCCGTCTGAAGACTTAAGCATCTGTGTACACAGCGGTGGCATGAGAATGAGAGTGGAAGTTATCAAGAAAAAAGAGAGCGGGAAGCCAACCTTATGCAGTTGAGCTTTCGAGCAAGGGAGTGATAAAGAACAGACCCCCGAACAGCTGGAACTTCCCAGGGGGTAGGGTAAAGTGAAGATGCTACATGAACATATAAAGGTGGTAACCGAAGGGAAGACAAGAGTGAAAGTAGCGAAGAGAAAAGGGACGGAGCAAACAGGGGCGGCGAACGAATAAAGAATGTCTACTAATATCGTGACCATCTATAAATGGAAGGATTGTTAGATCGTGATTGCTTACCTATAACGAAGGCAATGGGCATCACGGCGAATCAGACAAGGATGGAACATTTTGCTTCTGTAATAGAGCTTCTCAACAGGGAAGAGCCGAAAAGGCACCAAGTCACAAACTAAGCCTTGGTGATGGATAGAGTTAAGGCTAGAGAGTAGTAGCAGGAGAGCCGCGAATAAATCTGGTCACCATAATCATTTTCGATAAAACGAGGGCTAATGTAGGCGAAGCAGAGTTCGACGCATCACTCCCCAGGAAGAAGAGCAATGGTTTTAAGAGAAGGTTTAGCGCGGCTGTGACAAGTTGCCTTCAGAGAGGAATGTGATTTCCCAGGTTAACCGACGGTCAAGAGAGAAGGCCTAGAAACCTGACTGTATCACGTTCGGGATACGGGAGCCATAGAGATACAAAGGATGATCGGAGATACAGAGCGTCCCTAGTGAAAGTAATTTGGTGAGTTTTGGTACTTGAAAATTTAAAAAACCCATGTGTGGTGGCCTAATGGAAACACGGTCGACCGCATGCTGGAGAGAAACTGCAATAGGTGACAGTCCAGCGCCTGCACAAGCAATAGCGAAGTCATCAACCATAGAGTGATGACAAATTTGGGTGGGAAGAAACAAGGCCAAATCATTTTACAGGCAAGGAGAAAAAGTGTTGTGCTTTAACACATCCCTGAGGGACACCTTCACTTGTACGAAGTCCGGGGAAAGAACATATTGACACGAACACGAAATGTCTGTCAGTTAAAAAAGTTCTTAAGGAAGGATGTTAGATTGCTCGGAGGCCTAAGGAATGGGCCTGGCCAAAATATTATACCTCCAAGTTGTGTCATATGCCTTCTCAAGGTCAAAAAATATGGCAATAACGAGATGATTATTCGCAAAGGCATTACGAACATACTGTTATCCAAGCGTATAAGGGCCTATGGTAGAAGACCCTTACGAACCATATTGACTAGCGGAGAGACAGTTTGAGTCTCTAAATACCACATTAAACGTCGATTTACTAGGCCTCCATCCACTTTGCAAACTGCACTTGTAAGAGCGATGGGCGATAGTGGGAGGCCATCATGTCCTGAAGTAACCCGGTTTGCGGAAGACGCGTCGAGCGAGATCAATATGGCAGAATTTTCCACAGCTGGGGAAGAAACTCCTTGTGCGCAAATAAGATTGAAGAGTTGTAAAGGACTACAAGGGCTGACCGATGTAAATGTTTAACATACGAATAAAATGTCAACAGAGCCCAGCCTGCCGATGATCGGAAGCAGAGAGCGTTGCATCCAGTTCTTGAAGTGTAAAAGCACATTATACTGTTCTCCTCCGAGAGAAGAAACGTCAGGTACTAACTCTCTGGCCAGACCTTTGAGGAAAGAAACGAGGGCATAGATGGATGCCCTCGGGAAATACGTACCAAATGTGTGCCAAGTCAATGGCAACGTCGAGAGGGTTTGCCTATATCAACACCAGTGGACCCGTAGAACAGTACTGGTCAGGAGAGTATTTACCACTCAATTTTCCTCACTTTTTTTTTTCCCAGAACTGCACTCATAAATAAGCAGAGGTGATGGTGGAAACATAGTCTCCCAACAAGTTGCGTTAGCTTCAACGATGCAACGGCGAGCATCGCAACGCTCTGCTTAAAATCAACAAGTCTCTCAGCGTTTCTATGTACCGTACCATGCCCATGCAGCACGTTTCAAACTTACTGCACGAGCACAAGCAGTAGACCACCAAGGCACACCCTTCTGAGAATGCCTGCCAGAGGATGTGGGGTAAGAAAGAATAAGCAGTCGGTATAAAACCTGATGTCGAAAGATGTGTAGAGCTCATCAATGAGATGAAGAAGGAACCTCACAAAAAGCATGTGAGGTGGTGAGTAAAGATCCCAATTTGCCCGATCAATTGCAGCGAGGGCTACGGGAAGGTGGTGAATAGGAAGGAGAAAGTAAGAATGATCGAAAATATCGCTGTCATTAATCCTGGTAGAACAGACCAGGTGAAGTCTAGTGCCGTGGAGAAGAGCAGACTGATAATCGATGCAAGAGAGAGTATGGAGTACGAGGAACAACATGGGTGGAGTACCCGTATTTAAAACAATGGAGGGGGTAGAGGCAAGAAAAGCTCCAACTGAATGCCACGTGATCACAATGAGAACCCCCCCCAGAGGAAAATTGGGGGGCTCATTAAAATCACCAAGTAACAGAAGTGGTGGTGGTAAGGTGAAACAAGAAAGGCATAGTCTGGGATAGAAATGCTCGAGAAGGAGATAGATATAAAAGAACAAATTTGTAAACCACTTATTCATAGTGATTACGGCTGCAGTGTAATGCAGCGATGTATGGACAAATAGTTGACAGTACGGATATCAATTGCGTAGAAGAAGGGCAACATTCATTAAAGGTCCCATCTGAGAAAGGATCCGAAGAATACAATAAATTTAATAGCCCTGAGCTAGGTTGGAAAAACAGCCAATGTGTAATTTTGGTTTCTTGTAAGCAAGCACCAACAGGGGAAAAACCGAAAGCAACATCTGAAGCTCACCCCGATAACCCCTGAGGGCGCGGATATTCCACTGAAAAAATAAGCCCATGATGTCGAATGAAGAAAATATCAAGAATCGTAGGTAAAGGCACCTACGGACTAGAGGGGTTAGAAAAGTCAACGTGTGGTGCATTGGAAGATGTTCAAGTAGCGAAGGAACTGAGCGTTTTTGGGGGGGGCGAAAGAATGGGTTGTGGAAGATGGAGGAGAGGGAAGAAAGAACAGGAAAGTGAATCAGTGTCCATTGAAGGTGTTAGTCTCTGCATATATTCTGAAATGGCTTCAAGTGTTTCTGAAATCAAAGATGTATGGGACACCATATTGGAGATAGGAGGAGGAGGGTGAGTAAAGATTGGGACAGTAATGGACTGTACCAAAGTAGAGGGGGGAGGGAAAAGTTAAAGGGACTGGAGATGAAGTGTGGGGGGGGGACTGAAGAGGCAGAAACCTGGGAGTGACAGAAGTAGGGAGAAACTTGGGAGGGGACATGGTTGGAAGCATAGTACGAGGAGGAGGGTGAATCTCCACACTTGTAATAGAGCCATAGAGCGGGAAGAACTAGGTACAGAGACTTAAAGGAACGTGTGGAGGTGGAAGAAAGGGAAGGAAGGGCAAAGAAGATTTTGAGCAATAGTGGATTTTTTGGACTCTGTGATAAGAGGGGCGATTGGTATTAGGTGTCCGTACGAGGTCTTGTCGATACTGGGCTTGTGAGGACGGGACGCGAAGATGTGAGAACAGACTGAGTATGTAGTCGGGACGTCAGAGCCAAGGACAGCAAAAGTATTAGATGCGTAATGGCTATGGGAGGGGTTAACAACAGAGGAGCTGCAGAAGGATGGGACCCCAGAAGTGGGGGGGATGGTTTGAAACAAACAGAATAAGAACGACAGTGGTAGTCTCCCATGAGGGCGGAGATGAGAACTGCCAAAGCATAAGGGAGACCTTCTGCCTCTTTGAGGCAACGGATATCACGTACATTTAAGTAGACCTGTCAAACGCGGGAGTACAAAGGGTGAGCTTCATTACAATAAGGCAAGATTGGAGGTGACTGCAAGATGTATTAGAATGGTTGTCGTCACCACAGACCTGGGCCATTTCGGCATAGATCTGCAATATTCGCTGGGGACCAAACGCCAGCATTTCACAATTGAATGCGGTGTAGGTTACACCTTCGAAAATGTAACTCGATGTCCCGCGACATATACAGAGGACGGAGATTTCTCGCTGTCAAAAGTTAAACGAGCCACATTGCAAGGTAACGTCTCCGCCCCCTGGCAGGAGGACATAAGTGTCTACTTTGAGATGTGGAGATCCCCCTGGAGTTCCAGCTGTTAAAAAATGTCATAGCCACATGACTGGAAATCTGTGTGACTATGGTATGGGGCAGAATGACAGTAACCAACTACAAGAATTGAGAGAAATATGTTTTTTCAATAGTGATAGGAGTAGTATCAGATATTCGAAAGGAAGAGAAAGATCATGAGCTTGGTACATTCTGGACAGTGACGATGCCTCGTACCGCTCTTGAGAGCGTGAAATGGAAATATCTCCTGCCAACATGACGCAGGAGCGCTTTGCAATACTATAGGTCAGAAGGTAGGCAGTAGAAGAAGTTGGTCGAAAGTAAAGAAATTAAATCCATTGTTGGTCCGAAACTAGGCGTGGAGAGTGAGTGCTTGACGTGTCGGTCGATTTCCTAGTAGAATGAGGAAGGTAACGACGGAGCATCATCAGGAGATGACGTTGGCGTTTAGAGTAGGACGGAGTTGTCCCGGCAGAAATGGGTGGGGCGATTCGAAAATTGCCGTACCGTTAGAGGGTAGGAAGCGAGCATAGTCCCAATAGGAGAGCGAGTTCAGACAATCGAAGGAGTCAGACGAAGTGCCCCGGTACCTGAAGACGGTGAGGAAACAGCACCAGCCAAGGAGGTACTGGGGGCCACAGGATTGTCCGAAGAGTGGTCTAGTACACAAGGCAGGGTCAGAATGGGGTTGCGGTATCAAGAATGGGCCCGGTGGGTAGTGGTTACAAGGACTATAGGCTGCCTGGTTAGGTTACTCCTTTGCTTTTTGTTTTTACGAAAATAAAAGAAAGAAGAAAAGAAAATAAAAACAAAAAAAGAATAAAAAAAGGGGGGAGGGGGAGGAATATTTTCCAGGAGGAAGGGGAAAAGGGCCCGGAAATCCCCCTCCGCGCCAAGGGAACCCCCGACCCGTAGTAGGGGCAAAACGCATGGAACCCGTGCCATACCCAAACCCTTCATGCCAGAAAACCCGCAACCCGGGGATAGAAACCCTCACATTGCCGGGTACCTCGGTGGACAAAAGAGGGGGGGGCCCGGATATCCGCCAAAGCATACCTCCTTCAGCCCCACCCCCGGAAACCCGGGAAAGGTGGCTTCCAGGATACCCCCGTCCCCCAAAGGGGGGGGCCCCCAAAAGCTCCCCCGGGGATACCGGAGGGGGGATGGGGACTTCCCTAGGCAATCCAGATTCCACGGAAAACTACGCCCCCCGGCCAAAAACCCTAAAAGGGAAAATGGGATCGCCCCCGGTGCCCTTTTTCCCCTACCTGGGAACTAGCGCCCCTTGGGGAAAAATTTCACGAAGGCAAAAAAAGGGGAAAGGGGAAAAAGGGGGGGGGGTGAGGAGGAGGAGGAGGAAGGGAAAAAGGGGAGGATGGGGAGGATGGGTTTAGGGGGGGGGGGAAGGGGGGGTTTAATTAGGTTCGGTCTGAGGAAGAAGCCGGGACAGGGCTTTTTTCCTCAGCCCAAGGGGCCTCTTAAACCACCCCAAAGGGGCCCCCCGGGAAGAGGGTGCAGTATAAAAACTATGCCCTTCGGTTTGGAAAACTCCCTGTGCTACCTGGGGAGATGATGAGAAAGGTTTGGGTAATTCCCAAATTTTTTCGTTTATTTTGTTTAACATTTATGAAAGGGACGCCAGGGGGCAAAACATATCCGGGGACATTAACAAAAGGGTTTTGCGTAGGTTACACTCACATGGCCTTCCCCTGCCCAAACCCAAGAAATGCTTCCTTGGGGTTTTAAAAAAGATTAGATATTTTGGGGCTGTATTTCTAATAACTCTCTGCGCCCCTCCCAGTTAAAATCAAGCTTTATTAGAAATTTTAAAATTTTTCCCAAAAACCCAAAAAGCTCAGGTAGCTTTCTTGGTTCTTTTAAATTTTTTTTGCACGGTTTTTTTCCGAACCTTACTGAACTTTTTTTCCCCCCCGGCTTTTTATCCCACTTCCCTTTAAAAAATTTTGGAAGGAAACCCCTTGAATTTCGACGTAGCTCGGGGAAAAAATTTTAAAAGAGATTTTAAAAACATCTTTTTTGAAAAGGGCCCTTTTTATTTAAAATTCGATATTAAAAAAAGCATTTTGTTTAAGAAACTGATGCCCCAAAAACTGGCTTAGGTGCAGTGCTTACAATAAAATGATGGTACCTTTCCCCTTCCCCGTATGTTCCCAAGCCCGGGAAAATCCTTCCCAAAAACAAGATAAACCATAAAAAAATTTTGGTTGTTTTTGGGGGTATTAATTAAATTTTATTTCTAAAAAAATTATTTTAGAAAAACCCAAAATTTGATATATAGAAATTTTAAGGAACCACATTGCCTCTTGGGGACATTGGGCATCCGGCTTTTATTCCCTAGGTATATCAAGGTTCATTTATTTTTTTGGGTTAAGTCGGAAGTAGTAGAAATTTGTTTTAGCGAAATTTAGAACTTTTTTCCTCGGGCCATTTTCTTTTTTTTAAATCTCGGAAAGGGGGAGTGGGGGAAAATTAAATAGTGGGTGGATATAAGTAAAAAGTTTTTTGGGCAAAGGGAGGGAATTTTTGTTGTATCCCCCCCCCCTTTTTCCCCTCCCGAAAGGGGAAGTTTGTTCCGGCTAGGCCTCTTAAAGGGGGGGGCTCCTTGTTGGTGAAAGGGCTCTTGGTCTAGGAATTGCCCTGTGGTTTCTCCCAGACCGAAAAACCCCATTCCCCCCATTCTCCCTCCCCTTTTTCCCATTCTCCTCCTCCTCCCCACCCCCCCCTTTTTTCCCTTCTCTTTTTGGCCTTGGGTTTTCCCACAGGCGCGCTATTTCCCTAGGTAGGGGAAAGGACACCGGGCCCATCCCTTCCTTTTGGGGGTTCTTGGCGGGGCCCGTAGTTTGCCGTGGAATCGATTCCCCGGGGATGTCCCGACCCCTCCGGTATCCCGGGAGTAGCTTTGGGGTTTTTTGGGGCGGGGTGTATCTTGGAACCCAACCTTTCGGATTCCGGGGTGGGGCGAAGGGGGGTAGCTTTGTGGGGAATCCGGCCGCCCTCTTTTTTTTCACCAGGTAGCTCGGCAGAGTGGGTTGCTATCCCGGTTTGCTGGTTTACTGGCATGAAGGGTGGGGATGGCAGGGGTTCCATGCTGCATCTGGCTACTAGCGGTGCTGGGGCTTTGGGCGCGGGGGAGTTTTTGGGGCCCTTTTTCATTCCTCCGGGGAAATATTCCCCCCCGCTCCCCCCATTTTTTTTTTTTTTTTTTTATTTTTTTTTCTTTTCTTAAAAAAAAAAGAAAGGAGTAACCAAACCCTGGAGCCCCATCCTGAACCACTCCCCCCGGGCCCCTTTTTGATCGCCCCCCTTTTACCCTCCCTTGTGTTTAGCCACTCTTCGGACACCCTGATCCCCCCTTACCTCTTGCTGGTGCTGTTTCCCCCCGTTTCAGGTAGGGGTTTCGACTGACTCCTTCGATTTGTCTAACTCGGCTCTCTTTGACTATGCTTCCGGCTTCCCCTCTAAGGTCGGAAATTTTTCGAATCGCCCCCCCATTTCCCCCGGACCAACCCCCGGTTACTCTAAACCCCAAGTCAATTCCTGATGATGTCCTTCTTACCTTCCCATTCACTGGGAAAAAAGCCGACACTCAACTCCCTTCACGCTCATTTGGGCCCCAAATGGACTAAATTTTTTACTTTAAAACCACTTCTTTTTCTGCCCACCTTTCGACCATAGTATTGGGAAAACGCTCCGCGTCATGTTGGTAGAGTATTTCATTTTTAGCCTCAAGAGCGGTACCATGTACTGTCCGAACTACCCAAGCTCTGATCTTTCTCTCCTTTCGAATTCGATACTACCTTCACTATTGAAAAAAAATCTTTCTCTCAATTTGTAGGGTTTTTGTCATTCTGCCCATACCCTAGTCCAAAAAAATTTCCAGTCATGTGGGAAAGACATTTTTGAACAGCGGAACTCCGGATCCCAATTCCTAAATAGCACTTAGCCTTCCTGCCCGGGGGGGGGACGTTCCCTTGCAATGTGGTGTTTTAAATTTTTTCAGCCGAGAACTCCGCCCTTTTATATTCGCGGGGCATCGGTTACAAGTTCGAAAGGTGATACCTACACCGCAACAAGTAGAAATTTCTGGGGTTTTGGTACCCCGGAAAAATTGCAGATTATGGCCCCAATGCCCCGTCTGTGGTGCCCACACCCTTCTAAAAATCTTTCAGTCAAACCCCATCTTGCCCCTTTAAATTTTAATGAAGCTCACCCTTGTACTCCCGCCTTTTTCCCGGTCTCTTAAATGAAAGTGAAATCCGTTTTCCCCAAAAAGGGGGAAGGCTCCTTATGCATGGGAGTTACTCTCTCCCCTCCAAGGGAGACTACCCCGTGTTTCTTATTCTGTGTTTCAAAAAATCCCCCCCCTTTGGGGGCCCATCTTTTGCACCCCCTCTGTTTTTACCCCTCCCAAGCCAATCGGCATCTAATCCTTTTTCTGCCTTGGCTCTGACGTCCCCACTACAACTCAGTCTGTTCTCCATCTTGCGTCCTTTCCCCAAGCCCAGTATCGCAAGACCTCGTACGACACTAATACCATCCCCCTCTACTTTTAGAAATCCAAAAATCCACATTGCTCAATCTTCTTTTCCCCTTCCCTTCCTTCTTCCACCCCCAACTTTACTTTCCCGTTTGTACCTAGTTCTTTCCCCCCTCTTTGGCTCTATTAAAGTGTGGGATTCACCCTCCCCCCTCATGCCCTTCCCCCCCCGTCCCTCCCCAAATTTTCCCTCTTCCCTTTTCCCCCCCCCCCCACCCCTTTATCTCCAGTCCCTTCCTTTCCCCCCCCCCTCTACTTTTTACGTCCATTACGTCCAATCTTTTACCCCTCCCCTCCTATCCCAATATGGTTCCATAATCTTTGAAATTTGAAACACTTGAAGCCATTTCAGAAATATTGCAGGACAAACCTTCAATGGACATGTTACTTCCTGTTCCTTTCCCTTTCCCCCCCTCCATCTTCCAACCCATTTTTCGCAACCTCCTTCCTTTGCTACTTGAATCTTCCAATGCCCCCACCTTGACTTTTCTAACCCTCTAGTCCGTAGGGGCCTTTACCTCAGATTCCTGGTATTTTTTTTTCGCCAATCATGGGCCCATTTACATGGGAAAATCCCCGGCTCAGGGGGAATCGGGGTGAGCTTCAGATGTTTCTTTCCGGTTTTCCCGTTGGGGCTTTCTTACAAAAACCAAAAATTTCACTCGGCTGTTTCCAAACCCTTTTTCAGGCTATAAATTTTTTTTTTTCTTCGGATCCTTTTCTCAGAGGGACCTTTAATGAAAGTCCCTTCTTCTACGCAATGATATTCCGAGTCAATTATTTGTCCATACCGCTGCATTACACTGCAGCCCCGT